TTTATATATTTTAGAAGTTTTATTTGTGGTTGGTCTTTTGAGCGTAATAAAGTTTTATCTATCTCATTGTGATTACAGACAGAGTAGAGCCAAGTTCAGTAAGAAACATAAACCATACCCATACATTGTAACCTACATGGGAAGTGACGCCTTGTTCCTCCCGCCTAAAAATGTAGACATACTGTATACTGTAGGCCCAACACTTCCAGCATCATGCTTTCCATAGCCTTTCCTTGGCAGCTAGTACTACTGAACCTTGTAGTTCTGTTTATTAATCACCAATATTCACCACCATCAGCTCTATAACCTCTGTGAATGTGACCTCTATAACCTTCACTCTATAACCTCTGTGAATGTCCCTAATTCTCTTCTGAAGCCACATAAATCAGTAGTGATAACTAGAGATGGGAGTATTTGTATATGAATTTGAATATCCCTGAGCAGCTGGACTTGATGAGGGTTCAGGCCCTGAGGCCGGACCATCCACTCAAGTGTACAGTGGCAGCGGTGCTCATCCTTCCAATTGCACCCGGGGCACCGGTCTCTTCCTATTCAGCTGGTAACTCGGCAGCTGTGCAAGGAGACTCATCTTCTCACCCCCTGCCTGAAGGACAAGCAGGGCTGCTGCTCCTGCTGGATGTGTGAGGAGATGAATACAAATGTACCCCCTTCTCTGGTGATCACTATAACTTTGGCAATATAAATTAAAATGCAATACAGAACAAATAATTCTCTCTTCACTCCATGAGAAAACTTGGAACTATAACCCTGTGATATCTCAAGTGTCCTGCTATCTGAGGTTGAGGAACAGGTGCTGTTCCTTCATCACTGCCATATTTACCCTCCTCCAATGATAGTTCTCCTTCCTCCAGCTGACTCTAAGCCCTCTCCCCTGCTACATTAGAAGAAAGAAAAAGTAATATAGAGCATGTACAATTCTGCATTTGACTGAAAGGAAGGTCTTTCATGCATGTACTGTAGACTGCTATTTCTTCATTCAAATCCAGACCAGAACTTGCATAATATTTTACCCATACAAGTTGAAAATCTGTCCCCCACAACATATCTAGATGGAATGTGTGAGTTGTACAGTATGGGAGGGGGCATGTCTAGCTTTCTGGCTTTCTTCTAACCCTTTGCTGTTTGTGTTTTTTTTCCTCATTGTTTGTGAAGGTTAGTGGTTTCTGAACTGGAATCTTAGGATCAGCAGAAATCCTATTGTACATAGGGTAAATATGCATACATTCTGAAAACGTACAATATCATGTTAAGAAGGGCACCTAAAAGATCTAGGATCTAAAATGAACTTAGCTACTCAACTGCATATAAAGGTACTGGCTTCTTGACAGCTTCCCCAGATGTAGATGAACTTTTGTACAGCTGTTTTCAGGCTGTACCCTTACCTGCCCAGGAAAGCTAGATTTATTGCCCACCTTGTCCTTCCAGCTGAAGGCCTTCTTCTATTCAGGCAGGCTAATTCCTCAAGAAAGTGGCTCGTAACAGATTAGGTCTGTTCTGTACTTATTCTATTAAATTGCTTTTACCACAATTGCATTTTAATGTCTTAATTTGTTTAATTGTGTTTTAGCACTGCAACATTTTAGCATTACCACTTTTTTATATGAATCTGGATTTACTTTTACCTGTTTCCAGTCTTATGGAGTAGCTCTGATCCTGCTCTTGACAGCAAGGGATGATACATATAAAAGGATGGAATGGTTAGGAAAGGAAAGATTAAACTATTAGAACTGATACTGACCAAGACCAGCTAAGAAACAGCTGCTGAACAGCTGTATTGTGAAGCTGCTCTATTATGTCTTTATTAAAAACACACCAAAAGTTGCCTTTTGGGGGAAACTATTGGTGGACAGTGTCATTGAAGCTACCAACATGAATTGAACCCAACTCCGGGAGGCAGTGGAAGACAGGAGGGCCTGGCGTGCTCTAGTCCATGTGGTCACGAAGAGTCGGACATGACTAAACAACTAAACAATAACAAATTGGAGGAAAAGCCACCTCAAAGCTCAACAAACACAAGGGGGATAATTTTGATCACTGTGTCTCTAGTTTCTCTGTTAAAGGACACACAGGTAAAAGACAAAAAATAAATGGATAAAGTGTGGCCCTTCAACAGTAAGTGCCAAGTTTGGAAGCAACCAAGATCTAACACATAAAAAGGCACTCACCACACCACCTCCGCTGATCCATAATCTCAGATATCTGGCTACAAATTCTTATTCAGACAACTCCAAATGGATTTTTAAAAGTGGCACAGATCATTGAATTTTTTTATTTATATGCATAGTGACACTATGTTTCTGCTGTTTATTTTTCAAAATATATAAAAAACACTTGGAACAAAACCTTGCCATTTAAGATCTGAAAAACAGGGAGGAACGTGAGGAAGGCAAGCAGCTCTTTACAAAGAAATTTCAGCAAGAAATTCCATAGCTCCGGGAAGTACTCTTTTTTCTCATTGTCACAGATTATAGATTACCTACTCAGGGAGTGATTAATTTAGGAAAGATGAGGGGGCACAGCTAAGTGGATTGGAGCACAGAGGCAGAAGCCAGGAGTTCAAATTCATGAAGTATTTCTTCAGAGGTTAGGCAGCCAACATTACTTGCAATGTGCGTGGCTGATGGAGTTATGTGCCATGCTACGTATGATGTGGCCTTGGGCAAATTACATGACCCATGAGCACCACCAGGAGAGAATGGTGGCCCATTTTTGAGTACTTTAAGCCTAGAGCAGTTTTGGAGGATTGCAGTAAGTCAGAACTAGTATGATGTGACATAAATTGAATCAAATTATGATGGTCTTAGAAAGTAGTAAATTTAGTGAAGATCCAGTTGACAAAGGCATCTTTACTGCAATATAAACGGTCTTTAATACTGACAGTCAAGCAACCCCATAGCAGAAAACATAAAGGCTTGGTAAATTTATTATCTGTATTGGACTGTTGCCTGTCAATAGTTCAATGGATCAATTCCAGAGTGTGGTGCTGTACCTGCAGACATTCCAGTCAGTTCCATTTCTTTTTGTACTGGAAAAGTCTAAACTGTCCAGAGAAGTGATGCTAACTCTACCTCTGAAGTTCTTTTGCCGGCAAAGATTCTTTTATTCAGAAATGTTTTTGGCTTTAAATCTGCCTTGTTTGCTGAAGTAGATATTCCTAACAGGAGCTATTTAAAGGAATTGCTCCTGCTTTATTTATGTAGTTTTCATAAAGTTTTTCTATTATGTTTATTTTAGAAACCCTCTTTATTGCAGAGGACCACCAGATCTGCTATCATGTGTATCTAATTTTTACCGAATAACTAATTTCAATTTCCCATCTTCATAGTCGCAAGTAAACAAAGCTTTGAAATGTGACAGCAGTATCACATAAGTAGCCTCGTCACCCAGAGCTGACTATACCCAAGTTTAACTCCTGAGTGTACACATTAATATCCTGCTTTTTAGGAGCTCCAGCAGAGATTATTCTGGAAAGACAGCAGCAGAAGCAGTAGTTATGCAATAAGAAACAAAAGGGCTGGTAACCATGCTGCTCTTCACAGTTGTTACTCAAGACCTTGCAGCCTCCTCATAACCACAATCCCCTTGAGTAATTTTTCCCCCCTCTGTTTAACAGCACATTGCAGAAACTTTCCTACCTACATATATATCTTGCTGGTTTGCCAAAGTGAGAAGGTGAAAGCACAAAGAGGAAGACAAATGCTTTACATGAGTGACTTAGAACTACTTCACATTATTACATTTATAAAAGCATCTATGAAGGAAGCTATTAACCACAGCTTCCACAAGACCATTAAAATGGTGTGTCTTTTGTGTGATTATCCTTGAGTTTTCGTTACTCATACGCTTCAGAACTTGTAACTGTAGTTTAAACAAAAACCTCAAATAGAGCATCCCCATGTTGATATCTATGAACATCTATGAATTCCATAGAAATTGTTTTTTTTTTTTGTATTTTTATTTTTTATAAGGGATAACAAAAAGGAAAAGGGAATTGGGATTGATGAGGAAGAGGGGAGACAATAACATACTTTCATCCATTCTGTACCTATTGCCATATCAAGATTTTAAATTATTCTATTTACTCTTTTCTGCCTTCTAGATTCAGTTCTCCTTTCAATATGTACTGTTCACAAGCTGCCTGTTGATTCTGTCCACTTGTTAAATAGATCCCATCTTTCTGTTGCCTTTTGCAAGGGATAGTCCTTCATAACTTCTGATAAAATGTCCATTTCGGCTATTTCCCGTATCTTTTCAATAAGATCTTCTTGTTTCGGTACCGTTGATCTTTTCCAATTTTTAGCATATAAAATTCTAGCTGCCGTAACTATGTATATAACTATATAATTCTTTGACTTATCTATATTTTCAGGTATCATACTCAATAAAAACAGTTCTGGGGTTAATGGCACTTTACAGAGCAATATTTGTTCCAACATTACATGTACTCTTTTCCAATATTGTTTCGCTACTCCACATGACCAAATTCCATAGAAATTGTGAACGGCTTATAATGTGAGGAGAATATCAGTATTGATAAAGAACAGTAGCATTATATGCCATCCTTCCAAAGACCCTTAAAAAAAACAGGCTTCAACTTCAGCAGTGCCATTGTCTGATTTCAACATGAGCTTTGTGTCCGGAGTGTTAGGATCAACATTCCCCAAATGGAAGATCTTTTCTCCCCTTAAACCTCACATGTAATCCTTATAAACTATGGTACAGAAGCTTGAAATTATTTTATTTTTTAAAGTTGGAAAGGGTGTGGGTGTACAGTTCCAAACTCGAATGAAATCTAAACATTTCTGGGTTTTCTCATCCTTATTGTTTATCTCTTGTGTCTTTTGCAACTAAAGCATGTGACTCTAGCTGGAATCTGGAAGGCTAAAGATGGCTAAATGCATGAATAAAACCAGAATCAGTTATTAAAACATCATCCAGTTTTAACCATTGCTGCACTTCTAAAGCTTTTTCTGACATACCTGTGGGGACTTGTGAGAGCGCCAGCTATACTGGTGACTGTGGAGGCTAGCCAGCAAAACATTTTCGTCAGTATCCACCTGGCCAAACCGCAGTGTCTCCTGTGTGTCATTACAGATTACAAAATGGCTGAAGACCAACTCTTCTGCCTCCGGGCACTGGTTCTGAAAAGAAAGGAATATGAAAGCCAAACAAATGTCAGATTACTTGCAAGAAGTTTGGCATCTGTCTGTCCAGTGACTAACATTTCTACACCAGAACAATTCCCTTTTACAAGTTGTTTCAACACTTTATTTCTGTAACATGCATGGCAGGACAATTTGTGGTTCCCCAAAATGTACAGTAGGAACCCCATATCCACAGTGTTGATATGCACAATTTTAGTTGTCCACAGCTGCTGCTGTAACCCAGCTGAAAGTGTGCATGCACACTTACCACCTCCTCCCACCTTTCCCCCTCCTCTCACTGTCTTTAATGGTTCACTACTATCCGTGGTTTCAGGCATCTGCTGGGGGACTAAGAATCACAGCATCATAGAATAATTGAGTTGGAAGGGGCATACAGTCCAATCTCCTGCTCAATTCAGGAGTACAGATCAAAGGATATCTGCCAGGTGGTTGTCTGAATTTCTCTTGAATGCCTCCAGTGTTGGAGCACTCACTATCCCTCGGGGTAACTGGTTCCAATGTCATACTGCTCTAACAGTTAGGAAGTTTTTCCTGATAGTCAATCAAAATCTGGCTTCCTATAACTTGAGCCCATTGTTGCATGTCCTGAATTCTGTGATCTAGAACAGATCCTGCCCCTCTTCTATAGGACTACCTTTCAAATATTTTGAAAGTGCTATCATATCTCCCCTCAGTCTTTTCCCCTCAAAGCTAAACATGTGCAGTTCTTTCAATCATTACCCACAGGGCCTGATTTTCAGCCCCCTGATCATCCTTGTTGCCTTCCTCTGAAACTGTTCCAGTTTGTTGACATCCTTCTTAAAGTGCAATGTCCAGAACTGGACACAGTACTCTAGATCACTGGTTCTTAACCTTGGGTTACTCAGGAGTTTTGGACTGCAACTCCCAGAAGCCTTCACCACCAACTGTGCTGCCTGGGGTTTCTGGGAGTTGCAGTTCAAAAACATCCGAGTAACAAAGGTTAAGAACCACTGCTCTAGATGAGACCTAACCAGTGCCAAACAGAGGGGGACTAGTACTTCACGAGATTTGGAGACTATACTGTTAAAGCAGTCTAAAATAGTATTGGCCTTTTTTGCAGCCACTTTGAACTGCAAAAAAAGGACAATGCTATTTTAAACTGTTTTTCAACTATTATGTCTTCATTTATATCCCCTCAACTATAAAGCAAAAATAAATAAAAAGATAAAGAAATCTGAACTTTGAATCAATACTGCAACCAGGGCTGGAAATAAAGCACCATTCATACCATAGACAAGTATCCAGGTGAACAGCTTAAAAAGATTTTACATAAGGAAAGACTTGGTTACGTGCTGTAACTACGGTTCTTTGAGTGGTGACCCAGGTATCCACACAAAATTGAAAGTGCCTCTAGCCTATACCATGTAAGCACAGCCCTGCTCTCCTCAGTCCCAGTTGTCCACCACAAGAAAAGAATATATGGAGAAACAAGAGAGGTGGGCGGGATGTGCGGATACATGGATCACCACTTGAAGAACCATAGTTACGATAATCAAGTCTTCTTCTTTGTGGTGTCCATGAACACACACAAAAGAAGTGATTAACGAGCTATGCATTGGAGGCAGAAGTTACGTCAGAACAGAGGACAGAACAATCCTTCCAAATGCAGAACCTTTCTGAGCTCTGAGATCTAACTTATACTGTGTGACAAATGTCAAGGGCCTGGACCATGTAGCAGCCTGGCAGATCTCCTGGATGCCCACAACATGCATGAAGCCAGCAGATGAGGAACCTATTCTGGTGGAATGACTGTAAAAGACCCAAGGCAAAAGTTTGTTTGCCAGTTCATAGGTCAAGGCAATAGTCTGAGGTATCCACTTGGAGAATCATTGAGAGGAGACTGGGTATCCCCTTCCTGGGACCCTGGTAGGAGATAAAAAGTTCATTGTCTTTTGTCCCGTCTAGGTAAAAGGCCAAGGTCCGCGTGACATTCAAGGAGGGAAGTGACATTTCAAGTGGTTCTGCAGAGAAGGATAGAAGGTAGGTAAGATGAGAGGTTGAGACATGTAGAAACTGGATGCCACCTTGGGAAATAAGGTGATGTCAGTGTGGGAGAATATGATGTACGGCAAATGACATCAAAGGGCTGTGAGTTACATAGCCTGGTGGGTTGATGTGAGGGGCACCAGAAGTGCCACCTTGAGGGGCAGAGGTCCATCACGACCAGTGGTTCAAAGGGGTGCTTTGTGAGCTGTGACAGAACCAGTGAGAGAGACTATAGGTTTTGTGGAGGTCTCACATCTGGGTAGGCGTTCTGAAGGCCCTTTGGGAACATTTTAACAGTTTGATGTTTGAAGAGATACGAACTGGTGGTTGGTTGGTGTGCTACTATAGCTGTGAGGTGGATCTTAATAGAGAAAATGGAGAGTCCCTTTTGCTTGAAACACAAAAGAAAGACCAGAACAGTGGAGAGAGAGTTTGGAAAATCTGAAAAGATTTTGTGATGATGCTTAAAATAGGAAATGTGTCCACTTATAAGTGGATAGGCGGTTGGTGGAAATATATCTTAGGATCTTTGCGAGGAGAAGCATATCTTCCAGGCTGTGAGTGTCAGGTTAGTGAAATTTGGGTGAGGGACTGTGCCCTGGTGATGAGAGAGAAGGTCTGGATACAGAGGCAGCCTCAATCTGTCAGTTGTGGTGAGGAGGAGTGGTAAACCACCACTGATGTGGCCACCATGGGGTGATGAATATCACATTGTAGTGGTTGTGGAGGATCTTAACAATTGTACATCAGATCAGTGTAAAGCAGGGAACATGTATAGAAGGCTCCCACTCCAGTCTGTGGTGAAAGTGTCTCCCAGAGAGTCTACAACCCTGTTCACTCGAGAGCAGTAACAGGCACATTTGGAGTTCATGACAGTGGCAAAAATGTCTATAATGGACTCGCCCCAGTGGGAGACTAGCTGGATGTACACTATGTTGGAAAGTTCCTATTAATGCATGAAGGTTATCGTGCAGCTGAGGCATCTGCCATTTCATTGCCTATACCCAAGACATGGGTTGCCACAGGAAAAATATGGTGGACGATGCACCACTCCAAGAGGAGACCTGATAGATAGGCTGAATCACTTGGTTCTTTTGTGTTTGTTTAGATAATATATCACTGTGGTGTTGGCCATGGTGATTTGGACAGTGTGGCCTTGAATCATGGTTCTGAAAGTCTGGACGGCCTTGAAGATGGCTAGGAACATGAGGAAATTATGATGGATCCTCTCATGTGTGAACCATGTAGCCTGGACCTGTCTGTGGCAGCAATAGAGCCCCTAGCTTGCTGTGCTGGTGTCTGTGACTATTAGGCAGAAGGGATGTGGTTGCTGAAAAGGGACCCTGAGTTGAAGGTGGTGCTCAGTTGTCCACCAGAGAAGTTGTCACCTGAGGTGTGCTGAAAGAAAGTTTCTTGTTCGGTGGGTCCCATCTGTCATTGCAGGTCAATAGGTAAAAGGATTTGAGTGCTTGCACCCTCAGTCTGGAGTGGGGCAGGATGGTCATGGTAGATACCATGAAGCCTGTGCTGGGTGTGAATCAGTTTTTTAGTAGAATGGATGAGTCCGCTTGTGGTTGAGGCAGGATGGCCCGTACACCTGTGGCATGAAGGAATGTTCCAATGTAGTGGATAATTTGAGATGGGATGAGGTGAGATTCCTCCATGCTGACTTGTAGCCTGAGACTCGAGAGCAGTTGCAGGGTGAAAGTAATGTTGGTATGCAGAGTGTCTTTGTAGTGCGCTACCAAAGCCAATAGTTGATGTAGAGGAAGGCAGTGATGCCCTGGGTTCTGAGAAATGCTGCCACCAGCGCCACATGTTTGGTGAAAACGCTTTGGGTCTGTGGAGAGCCCAAAAGGAAGAAAGTGCAAGTTGTAGGCCTGGTGGCCAATGAAGAAGCTTAGGAAGAGGCAATACTCTGGGTGAACTGAGGTATGGAAATGCATGTTGTGGACATCTATGGATGCAAGCCAGTCTCTCTGGAGAAGCAGGGGGAGAATGGACTGTAAGGTCAACATCCAGAAACATTTTGGGGTGATTAATTTGTTGAGGGTGCGTAGATCCAAGTTGGTACATAGGCCTCCATCCCTTTGGGATACAGTAAAGCACTGGGAGATGAAACCATCTGAGGTGTGATGGAGAGGTACTCTTGAGATGGCTTCTTTTGCCAGTAGCTCGTGGATTTCCTCCTGAAGGACAGGGGAGAGTGAGCTGCATCGGATATGCCCTGTGGATGGAAGAGTAGAAAACTCTTATCGTGTATCCATGTGTTATGATGTTGAGAACCCATGCATTCAAAGTGATTGTGTTCCAGGTGTGGATGAATGGTGCTATACCTGAGGTAGTGTGAGATGGTGGTGCAAGAGGGATGCGTGCATCAAGCTTGGGCTGGGGAGCATCAAAACTGCTGTCAAGGTTTCCTGTCTGCCTTCTTGGGGAAGGTTGTTTGCTTGAATTTGGCAGAAGAGGAGGCAGGGATGAGGTGTTGGTGAGTCAACTGATCAGAAGTCTTGGATCAATCAGACAGTGACTTACAGTATGGAATGTTTCTCTTCCAGTGCGAGCATAATTTATACCCATTTTCTTTGCACCGATTTTCTTCTTGTGGAGGTCCTGCACAAAACAATTGGTCCTGTTGCTGAAGAAGCCCTCTTCATCGAAGGGGAAGTCCTCTATGTGGGACTTAGCATCATCTGGAAGGCTGCTGAGTGAAGTCAAGCATGCCTATTAGAGTAATGCTTGCTGCCATGCTCTTAGTCATGTATCAGGGAACACATTTTCTGTCCAGCCAGAGTATTTTTCCTGCTGAAAGGAGATGGTTAGAGACCTTTCTGTCCAGTGGTAAGGAGGCAATGATGATCTGAATTTTTTCCCAGATGAATTGATGGTAAGCACCCATCATGGCATGATAGTTAGCTATGCTCATGTGGAGTGCCACTGAGGAATAAACCTTATGAGCAAGCAGGCCT